GATTTCAAAGGCAGGCTGCGACCCGGTGTTTCAGGGGCTTGTCAGCCACGCTGGGGCGTTCGGGGACAATCCCAGGAGCGGGGACAGGTTTCGGCAAAAGGGAACCTCTGCTCGGGGCGGGGGGCCTCCCTTAGGAGGCTGGTTGGGTGGCTGTGGGACGAGTTCAAGTGGCCGGTGACGCCGGCCACATCCAGGTAAGCGGCAGCGAGACGGAGCGACACCAAGGAGCCGGGACGGGAGGGGCCTCGCCAGACGGTCGGGGCGGGCTGGCGGGGGGTGGGCCTTGAGGGGCCCAGGGCACCGGACTGTGGGGCCGTTCTCAAGACCCCAAGCTCAGAAGAGACATGGGAGTGGGAGACGCTTTGAGGGGGCTCCTTTGGGTCGTTTTCAGCGCTGACCCGAACGGCAGCCCAGAAGCTTCTGCTGCGTTCAGTCCCCCGCACACGGGGCGGCGCGGGCTGCGGAGCCTCCCCGGCGGCCGCCGAGCACACGCGAGGGCTGAGTTCCGACGCCGCACGGCTGCGGGGGCCCACACCTGTGCCTTTCATCTCAGGAGACAGGCTAGATTGTAAACATCAGCCGAGACGTCGCAGGCTCAGCCAAAAATGGAAACATTCACTTTTCCCTGTGGGGTCCACGTCCGTGGTCCCCCTCGCCACCGCGGCAGGCGTGCAGGGGGCGGCTTGCCAGGCTCCCGATGCGGCAGCGGCTGTGGGGAGCCCACGCGGCGTGGCCTGTGGGGCTGTCCGTCCTGAAATTGTCCCCGGGCTCGAACACCGCGGCGGTGCTCCGGGAGCTGAACGCTCTCCTGCAGCCGAAGCCCCCGCCTGTTTCCTTGACATGCAGGTGCGCGGCCGGAGGCCACAGGCGGGGCGGCGTTCGGCACCCCCGCGACCTCCGCGCCACAGCCCTGCCCCGTGTAGCATCTCCCTGGCGCCGTCCTGGCCAGTGGCTTCCGTCCCCGGTGCCCGGTCAGGGACCTACGAGAAACCAGTCGATGTTTTTTTCTTTTCCTCTCTCTCTCCCCCACCCCCTTCCTCTCTCTCTCTCAAAGCAATGAAAAATGTCCTCGGGTGAGAGTAGAAATAAAAAATCCCGCTGGCCTGGCTCACGCGCTATTTAGATAGCACTTGTCTCTCACTCTGGAATGTGGGGGTGCCCCCCCCCGAGAGGGGGCTGGGGTGCGGTGTCACGTGGGTGTGGCTACAGGGGGCCTGGGGGTGTTTTAACCATGCTCTCCTTCCAGGTGATAATATTCAGCCACAGACTGTTTGCCCCAGTAGATGGTGAATTTCCAAAGCCCGGGGTGTGTTTACAATCTCATTATAGAGTTACACAGGCTTTTTCTAATTCCCCTTCCGGTGTCTGGTGGGTATTTCCAAAACTGACAGACAAAGGTCTGCTGTTTACTCCGCTGTAAACCAAGCTCCCAGACAAAAACAAACAAACAAAAGCGTATCAAAGAGAGGCGCGTTGACATCCGCCTCATAGAGCCTAACAATGTGCCGGAACAGGCGGTTCGCGTGGGCTGGCGTGGGCGGCCGGCGGCGGCGGCAGCGGCTGGCGGTCTCTGTCCACGTGTCCTTTTCTTCCTCTCTCTTGCGTGGAGCCAGTTAGAAGGTGCCGGGAAGAGCCAGCCTGCCCTTCGTCTGGAAGGGCGTCGGTAACGCAGTTCCCTGCTGGGGGGATTTTTAACTCATTCCTAATACATCAGGTCCTGTCCAAATGGTAACAAGTATGGTATTTAAGTAATTATTGAAATTTTAGAGATTTTTTGGTAAGGTGTTGAGAAATTTGAAAACAATCACGATTACCTTTTCTGTTCCCGTTCAGCGACACTGAGAAGAGCCGAAGGTGCTAAGGTCTTGCCATTTGCTTTCTATTTACAATGCAAGAAACTAGCCAGTTCAGAAAATTGTTTTTCTTATTACAAAGCAGTTGTGTTTTGATGTCGCAGAGGCTGATCACTTTACACTTTACCTGCAGCGACTGCAATGGGTTAAGGAACCAATTTTCCAGCCGTGGCCAGTGGAGCGCAGATGGGAAGAGAAGTCACATAAACAAACTGAAATGGACTGAGAAGTTAAAAATTCCCTTTAGGCCTGGCCAGCGTGGCTCAGTGGGTCAGAGCGTCGTCCCATAAACTGAAAGGTCGCAAGGTCAACTCCCGGGCAGGGCCTGCACCTGGGTGGCCGTTGGGTCCCAGCCGGGCGCACACAGGAGGCGACGGATCGCTACCGCCCTCCCCTCCCCATCCCTTCCCCTCTCCTTGGGTGGGGGTTAAAAGAGTTTTAAAAATTCATTGTAGAGACATGTCTTTTCTGATGCCTTCTATTAACTGCTGCAGCGCAATGGAGAGATTTAGGGTTAAAACCCTTTCTCCCCCCCGGCCCCCCCGTCCTGCGGGAGGTAACGCTGTCACCAAGGTGCACCTGCATGTAACTCCTGTCGCCTGTGGCCTCGTTGCGGGCGCCGCCCCCCATCTCCCTCCCTGCCTCCCTCCCTCCCTGAGACAGACACACGCGCGTGCGCATAACGCACACGCGTCAGCCAGACCAGGAACCTTCTGTATTGGGCAGCCATTGTCGGTGCCCGTGGCTCTGACAGCTCGGGTAACGCATTTCACAGTGTTAATGGGGGCTCTTTTTTTCCTTTTTTTGGCCGAACGACGCAATGAACCGCAACCCACGAACGCCCGCGCCGCATTGGCAGGCGAGCGTGAGCGCGGGCGTGAGCGCACGCAGGGCCCAGCCCGGCTCCGGCGCGGGCCCGCCTTGGGGGGCCGACTCGCTGGCGCACGGGGCTGCGCCCTGAGCCGCCCGGAGTGTGCGTCGGGGGCGCGGACAGATGAGGTGGGAGGGCTCGCTGTTCCCCAGGAGGTGCCGCGCCCGCGTGTCCCCCGCGCGGTCCCTTCACTCAGACACCTCGCTCGCAGGGCGTGTCGTCGGCCGGACCCGGCAGGAGACGGAGAACCGGCCGCTGTAACGGGGATCGGCAGGGCACGCCCCTCGCTCTGGGCGCGGCAGGCCTCTCCCGGTGTCTTCCCCCCGGCCCCCCGCGGAGCGAGGAATGCCAGGAATGCCCAGGGCTCCTGTTGCAGGTCCCCCTGGACGGGGACGCAAGGTGACACCTCAGGCCGCACGCGGACCCTCACGGTCCCCGCGGTGGGCGGCCGGCGGGGTCAGGCCTGCCATGGGCAAACGTGCCGCCCTGGCAACCAAACCTGCAAACAAAACTTCCAAGTTTGGTGGGTATCATGCAGGCGCTTGGGGGGGGCCCGCCTCTTATCGCGCCCTCACGGGAAACAGCAAAGGAAACAGCGTTTCCCAGCCGTGCTAAAGGCGCTGTACTCGGGCCGGAACGGGGAGCCTGGGCTCCCGCGCGCGGTGCCGGGCAGCGCCCTCTGCCCGGCCCCGGGGCCGGCTCTGTCGGCTGCCCTGGGCGGCGAAGGGCCGGGCGGTGCCCCAGAGCGGGCGGGCGGCTCTTTGGTGGCCGTGGCTCTGAGGGCCGGCGAGGTGAGCTGCACGGCCTTCCAGGCACGGCCGCAGACGCCGCCCGGGCAGGTAGGCGCCCCCTCGGCTGTTGGCTGTCGCCGTTCCTGGCTCCCGACAAGCTCCCGAGGGGCGGGGGTCATGCTGTTCCTGCAACGCACGGCAAATGTCCCAAACTACGTTTTTTTCAAGTGAGCTCCCAGGCGAGCCCCCCGTTTCCTGTGTTGGTCAGCTGGCTGCTCTCCCACCCCTCCCACCCCCGCTTCTAGGGCCCCCCCTCGAGGTGAACTGTGGGTCAGCGGTGGCATCAGACAGGAGTGGCTGAGATCGATTCACCCCCAAAGCTGCAGGGAAATGCAGCTTCTGAAGCACGTGGAAGACCCACACAAAACGCTAGGTGTGAGGCCATTTCTCGCCTGGAAGCTCCGCTGTGCAGGACACGCCCTCGCCCCACGGGGACCCACAGTCCCGCCCGGTCTCCCTCCCTGAGGTCGCGGGCCAGGAGGCACCGTGGTGTGTCGGTCTAGTTGCCCCAGCAGGCGCCGGCTCGTAGTGGTTGTCGCAGACCCGGGAGGCATCATAGCGCAGAGTCTCCAGAGGAAGGACTTGGGGGCCAAACCCGTCAAATTGTAGCCTTTTGCATTTTGTTTCATTTTGGTGGTGTATTGCCAGCAAAACCTCCAGGAAGTCCGGGGAGAGGCCTCGTGTGCGGGGACAACGCAGCTGCTGCCTCAGGGTGGGAACGTCCCGCGGGGCCTTTCGCCAGCCGTGGCTTCCTCTTCCCACGGAGGCACTTGACCCCAAACTGTGTACAGGGTTGGCCAAAAAGTTCGTAAAATAAAAGACACAGTCTTCATTTGCACCAGTAACTTTATTGATTTGGGCACTTTGAGGATGCCGGCTGTCTCCCGCGTGGTAGAGCGTTGCCTGTTCTCGGTTAATATCTCGATTTGATCGCTGTCAACGTCAGCGGACCTACCCGACGGGGGGTGGGGGGGGGCGGCGTCCGGCGAGAAATCTCCAGCAGGAAACTTCGCCAACCAGAGTGACACATTCAGTCACAGCCCCTTCTCCACACACCGCACAATCCTTTTTCCACATTTCAGTTGCATTTTTACCTTTCTTGAAATAATAAAGCATAATACGCGGAAAACACTGCACATCTTCTTCCACCTTCGATATTAAAATGGCCTCACAAAAGGTCAGCAGTTTTGGTAAGTTCTTTTTTTTAAACGCTGGCCGAGGTGACAGCCGCCACGATACAATCCAACAAAATTGTTTCAAATGAAGTTAAAGACCACTAAGCGCTACTAGGGCCATCTCACGGGAAAAACCACACGAACTTCTTGGCCACCCCGATGAATCTACAGGTTAGAGATGTTCTCTTACTCAAAACAGGCGGCGGGGTGAGGACGTCAATATAATGGAGCCGACTCTTTGGAATTACGTCAGTCGGGTTTGTGGAAGAAACATGAAATAACAGGAATGGTTTTGCTCTGTCCCCCCCAGAGCCCCGCTTCCACTTCGGGGACAGCGAGTACTCGGTGGACGAGAGCGCGGGCTGCGTGCACGTGCAGGTGTGGAGGACAGGCACCGACCTGTCGGGCGCCTCCAGCGTCACCCTCAGCTCCCAGAAAACGGACCCTCCGTCCGCCAGCGGTGAGCGGCGTCACGGCGCTTCGCAGCGTGCGGGGCTCGGGCGGCGGCAACGCGGGAGCTCTTCGCCCCTATCTGAGGAGCCGGGCGGGAGGGATTCTTCCCCCTGAAATTATTACTCTCTGGGAGGTGAAGCAAAGCTCTGTTTGCTACGGCGGGAAAGTACGCTTCGGGGCCTTGGCTCAGAGGCTCAGTCAGAACCGCGTTAGCCGAAGACGCGATTCTCATGCCTGATTCGCCCTCCGCGTGTGGCGAACCCAGCGGGGTTGCGTATCATGCCATCACACCCACGAGAACCCTCGGGCCGGCCAGCAGCGTCGCAAAGGCTGAACGACACGGGGGTGCGGCTCCCACAGGGCACCCGCCTCGGACACCCCCCAGACGTGCCCGGGTGCGCTTCAGGCCAAAAGGCCTTTCCCCGCTTTGCTAGTCAAGCCGCCCTGGCTGGCGCGTGCCGGCCTTTATTCTGGAACCTACATCCCCCAAAAGTTGACCATAGCGTTCGGGGCAAGCACAGGATTAGAAATTTCCCTTTTTCCTTCTAAGTCACCCTACCTCTGCCTTTTACTCACACGCACACACACGCACATCGGACACACCTTGCACATTCATCACACAGAGCAAGCAGGGGTCCTTCCGTTGCAAAAGTCAGCCCTCGGTTTTAACTGTTTTAATGCAGTAGAACCAGCATAGTGCTTTGCATGTGGCCATTGTCCAACAAACGCTTGTTTAGTCCAATTAGTTATTTTATAAAATTCAAATTGAAGAAAGGTAGGGATGAGAATAACTATAAGAAGGACCACAGTGGATTCAGATACAGGGATTTTAAAAAATGAATTACAGGCATACACATTCCGATGTATTTTCTGTTTGTTGCATATTCAGAGGTACAGTAGGTACAAAGTGAGCGTTAGAAGTTAGGAAAACAGAAAAGCCGTGGCATCGAACTAGCGTCCCCGCTCCAAGTCTTTGCAGGTGCAGCGCCTCAAGACTAAAAGTTTCGTCTTTAACATCATTAGACACCAGGGGAGATGTCGACACGAGGTAGGTGCCCAGTGGACTCAAAAACGCTAAGCTGAAGAGCAGAGCCCACGTGCGCCTTTGAGAATGAGGGACCGCCCGCCGCGAGCGGCGCGCAGAGGCGGCCGCCCAGAACACGCCGCTCTCGCCGGCAGCCGCACGCCTAAGTGGGACGTTCTCTAGCCGCTCACAGAAAGAAATGCAGGTGTCTGACTAATGCTAGCGAAAGGTAGATAAGTTATCTATTTCTCCTATAATGTATAATAATCATGTCTGATGGATGTAGTGACTCTTAGACCTCGTTCTGTTAGCTCCCGTTCAGAATCCCAAACCAAAGACAGGGAAGCTGTAAGACACAACACCAACATAACTAAAACGAAAATAACACAGCAGACGCAGACAAATCCAAGCTCAGAACCTGGTCTGGGATCGACCAGCTCTCTCCCCAACGTGGATGCGAACCTTTTGTGTTTGGTTCAGTGGACTTTCCTGTAATGTCACGCTGGTCCGTCCTGTGTGGAGGACCGTAAACACACGCACGGGAATTGCCGCCTGTCATTGTGTTTAAATTCTGAACAACTCTGTTGCCCCGTGGCAGCCGGAACAGACTACGTGGGCATCAGCCGTAACCTGGACTTCGCGCCCGGCGTCGGCCTGCAGACGGTCTGCGTCGTCATCTTGGACGACCTCGGGCAGCCTGCGCTGGAGGGAGTCGAGGCGTTCGAGCTGGTGCTCCGCATGCCTGTGAACGCCGCCGTCGGCGAGCCCAGCAAAGCCACCGTCTCCATCAACGACTCCCTCTCGGACTGTGAGTGTCTGCTCCTCAGCGGCAGGGAAAGCGATAAGCTGTGTCCGTGTGCGCGGCGAGCGAAAGGCGGGCGAGGGTCCGTGTGCCGGCGGGAGGTCTCTGGCGCCGCCGTGGCAACGCGCTGGAGGCTCGGACATAGCTGTGAAGTCGCTCTGGGTGGCAGAAGCGTTGGGGGGGCGGCGGGGCGGTGACGTGCAGCACAGGACTAGGGTCAGTAATGATGGCGGTCACGTGTGATTGAAAACATTTTTAATTAAAAAATCCCCTCGGTCACACGCGAGCAGAAGCCCATGGGGCCGTGCGGGCCTGTGGGTGCCGGGGCCCTTTTCCACGTCTGCACGTGAGACACGCCTGCCACCTCCTGACACGCGGACACGCTGCCGTCCCCCTGGGGACAGCCGAGGGTGTCACTCCGAGACAGCCAGCTGTGGGCCCGCATCCTGCTCTCTAGCACGTCCTCATAAGGCGGTTCTGCGTGACCTTCTTTGGGATTATCTTTTTTTTAAAAAAGTTCTTTTTTTAAGTTTACTTTTAGAGAGAGAGGAAGGGAGGGAGAAAGAGAGGGAGAGAAACATCCATGTGCGGCTGCCCCTTGTGCGCCCCCTACTGGGGACCGGGCCCGCGACCCAGGCCTGCGCCCTGACTGGGCATCGAACCGGCGGCCCTGTGGTTCGCGGCCGGCGCTCAGTCCGCAGAGCCCCGCAGCCGGGCCGGGCGCCCACGTTTGCTTGTTTCCGCAGTGCCTAAGATGCAGTTCCAGGAGCGAGTACACACCGTCGACGAGAGCGCCGGGCAGGTGGCCGCGATGGTGTCCCGCACGGGGGACCTGCGGCACCGCACCTCCGTGCGCTGCTACACGCGGCAGGGCTCCGCGCAGGTGATGGTGGACTTCGAGGAGCGCCCGAACACGGACAGCTCCCTCGTCACCTTCCTCCCAGGTACGTGCAGGCTGGCCATTCCCGCCGGCCTCGGAGAAAGCCACGTTTTGATGGCACATATCAATCAGGGACATAGAAGTGCTTTGTTTCAACCCGCTTATGACACGATTTTGGGTGCACGGAAGGGTAACGAGGGGAGGTGGAGGGCGGCAGGTCGAGTCAGTGTCCCTTTTGGTTTCTGCAGCGACTTACTGATTCGCTTACAGCGATGCGTTATGTGTTTATTCCCAACGTGTTCGGTGGTAGAGGCATCCGTGCAGAGTCCCCAACGCCAGGGGATACTTAAGGTTCCAAGGGCACAACTGAAAAGGAACGGATGTCAGATTTTTAATATGTATCCAGAGCCTCTAAATAGATGATCGTTTGGACCCAGTAATTGTTCTAGAAACTAGTACCGTGGTCCAGTGAACACTGACCGGCCTGCCCCAGGCAGCTAAGTTCGAGAAACAAAGCCGGCGTTTGCTCGGTTTTCCAAGGTGAGCGGCAGGCAGCAAGGAAGCCCCCTGGGCAAGGGCGGGCGGCGCTTGCGGGGAATGCGCACGCAGTCGTTCCTTCCGCAGCCATGTACCGACGGCCCGGGTCGCGCCCGACGCCGTCCTCCGCGCCGCGGGCAGAGCCAGCGAAGGGCGCCTCTCGCCGGCCCCCGGCCGCGACCAACGGGCCGTGCTTGCGCTTGCAGGTGAGACCAGAAAGCCTTGCGTCCTCACGCTGGTGGACGACGGGCTGCACGAGGACACGGAGGAGCTGCGGCTGGTCCTGGGCAGCCCGCGCAGCGGCGCCCCCTTCGGGGCGGCCGTGGGCGCGCAGAACGAGACGGTGATAAGGATCCGCGACGACGCCGACCGTGAGGAGCCCCGCCTCGAGCCGGCGCCCGCCCGCTGGGGGAGGGGAACCCCTCCAGGGCCTGGTTCGGGGCGGCTTGGGAAACGGCCCCGTCTTTTCCACGAGGCTTTTACAGGGGTTGAGAAATACGAAGGAGGCTAAGTAAATAGGGAAGGCTGGGCGCCGTGAAAGCTGAAGGCGGCCGTTGACGGGCACGGCTTCCATCGGGACACTGAGCGGCCATTGTTTGGCGCCCGCCCTCCGGCCCTGGCAGCCTTGGGTGCAGGTGGTCCCGGGCCAGCCTGTCCTCCCTCCCCTCCGACTCCCACACAGTGCCCGGCGCGTAGAGGCGGCCCCGAGCGCACGCTCGCCGGGCGCTGGGTCCGTAGGGGCTGGTGGCCTGCGCCCGGTCGCCCCCAGCGCACTCGCCAGTGACACTGGGTGAGGAGGCGGCGCGGGCCCAGGTCGGCCCGCCCCCGGGGACCGGCGTGCGGGAACCCGAGACGCAGCACCCCCCTTCCAGCGCATTTGTCCCCGTGTCCCCCGCTGCAGAGACCATTATTAAATTTGGAGAGAGCAAGTTCAGCATCCGTGAACCTAAAGACCCCGGACAGTCGGCGGTGGTGAAGGTCCCGGTGGTTCGCCAGGGAGACACCTCGAAGGTGTCCGTCGTGAGGGTCCACACCAAGGACGGCTCGGCCAGCTCCGGAGAGGACTACCTGCCCGTGTCGGAAGGTGCGCTCGGCCACGAGCACGGCCGCCGCTGCCGTCTGCTCGGCGGGGATGGGTGCGCGGCGCCTGCCTTATTTCCTCTTCCGCGCCAGTTTCTCACGAGGCGCAGTAAAGCCACAACGCGGCTTCTCCAAGTTTCATAGTATAGTCGGCTACCTATTCGGGCGTTCAAGAAAATCAATCCAATTTTAACATTTTCAGAATTTTTAAGGGAATACTTAAAAAGGATTCTCAGAATTGGGTTTAATTTCAAGACAATGAAGCAATTCTTCCTAGTGAGGAGGGACAGGGATGAAAGGAAAATGCCATTAATATTTATCTTAAAAATGTTTTAAGGCCTGGCTGGGGTGGCTCCGTGGCCTGAGCGCCGGCCTGCGAACCAAAGGGCCGCCGGTTTGATGCCCAGTCAGGGCACCTGCCTGGGTTGTGGGCCGGGTCCCCAATAGGGGCGCTTGAGAGGCAACCACACATGGATGTTTCTCTCCCTCTTTCTCCCTCCCTTCCCCCTCTCTAAAAATGAATAAATAAAACCTTTTTTGAAAAATGTTTTCAGTTTCCAAGATTAACATCAACAACAACAAATAGAAGCCTTGAAAACGTCATTTGCTGTGGTGATAAAACATTCATTTTATATCGAGCTTTTCTACATCCCTACAGAGTGTAAACACTGTTGGCATTCGGTCCCATCCGTGACCATGCACACGTGACCGGTGTCCTGTTGGTTTACACGTTGTGGGAGTTAGGACGCGCGGTTGTCTGGTCGCGTCCCAGTCTTGGAATGGTCGGTTGTCTACCCCGTAACTCAGCGTTTTTTTCAAACTGAGGTTCAACGAACATATTTAGCAGTCTGTAAGTAAATTTTTCGTCTGCATAAAATGGAAGAGAAGAGACAATATGAGCGTGTCATGCATATAGTAAGAATAAGCGGGGTTTTTTTAACTTCCTGCCCCGTTTGGTTCAAACGCGCGCCGATCCCCTGCTCCCTGTTGCGACAGCGATTTCTCATTGGGAGTCGCTGTCACAGACGCTGAACCAAAACTTCTCCTATGCGTGCGTAACGGGTTTGAATCTGGTTTTGCTCTTGTAGAAATTGAGTTTAAGGAAGGAGAGACCCAGCACACTGTGGAAATCGAAGTCATCTTCGACGGGGTGAGGGAGATGCGCGAGGCCTTCACTGTTCACCTGAAACCGGATGAGAACATGGTCGCAGAGACCCAGGTGAGCACAGAGAGAGACGCGGGTGCGCCACCCGGTGCCGGGGCGAGGTCCCAGCCGGCGGCCCCGGGGGGCAGCCGCCCCTGAGCGTCTCCTGGCTACGTGTCTGCCACCGTGGCTTGCTTCTCTTCAAAGTCATATTTAAAATTCAGGGATGAGCAGAAAATCTTTTTCATTAGCCTCAGTCACATAAAAATGAGTCTCCTGTTTTTATGGAGCATCATATTAAACTCTTTCGAGTGGAAGGAACGAAGAAGATGCACTCAAATCACTTCACGTGATGAACAACGCACCTGTAAGCGCAGGTTTGGAAACCGGGACAGCCGGGCCCTGCGCGCTCCTTCAGGAGCGAAGGCACGTTAACCGGCGAGGTGCCCCGTCACCTCAGCGGCCACGCGTGGCCCGACGTTCCTCTCCCGAAGGGGCTCAGCTCCTCCCGCGGCCGCTGGCACCCCCAAAGCTCTTTGCGGGCACGCACTGCACGCAGCCCCCGCGGTCACATGACCCCCGGGCCCCCCAGCTCTCGCAGGGGGATCCGCGCGCTTCCCTCTCACCAGCGACTCCGGCTTGTCCGTGGGTCCTCCGCCTCACGACCCCGAGACGGACCGAGCCGCTGTCCTCACAACCTGGAGGAAAAGTCAGAGCCCAAATGCCTCGAGGGCCCCGGGGCGACCCGGGCCGCCCTGGGGTCAGGGGCCCTCCCCGGTGCCAGGAGACACGACCAAGGTGCCTGGGCCCCCGAAACAGACCATGGGGGGCCAGTCACGCGGCAGGGGCTCTGCGAGGGACAGCTTTACCCTGACGAAGCCGTCAGGGCGGTGTCCTGCGCGACCGCGGCACCCAGGGCCCGGCCCCTCAGTAACCGCAGATACTCACCCTCTCCCGGCAGGTGACCAAAGCCATCGTGTACATCGAGGAGGCAAACAGCATGGCAGACGTCACGTTCCCCTCTGTCCCCCACGTCGTGTCCTTGCTGCTGTACGACGACACCTCCAGGGCCCAGGACCTCGGCGGCCCCGTGTCTGGCTACCCTGTCGTCTGCGTCACGGTGAGTGGGACGTGGAGGGAAACTGTAAACAGTAGTCACAGCTGAACCAAGGCAGGACTGGCTTCGACGTGAAGAAATAAAGGCGGGAAACCGCTGCGAGGCTCAGGCTTTGGGCCCTGGAAAGGCACGTAGAGCACGAATCAAACACAGCGCCCTTCCTCTGCCTTCGCCCGGCCAAGGCGCGCCGGCGGGTGTGCGCCCGGCGGGCCATCTCGTGCTGCCTCCGCGTCGGTCGCTGGCGGGATGGGACGCACGGGTGGGGCGCTGCACGCAAGGGAACTAAAAAATAAAAACGAGAACAACCCGTGGGAATCGCTCACGCAGGACAAGGTGTGGCTGTGACTGGGCGTGAGGCAGCCCTGTGCGTGGGGGCGGGGAGGGGGCGGGTCGCCTGCCGCCTCCCGAGGGACAGCCCAAAAGAGCGGCCTGTTAGGGTTGCACTTCCGTTTGCCGGCTCCGGGCTCTAAGTGACGAGCTCCTTGTGAGCAGAAATGGGGGCCTGGTCATTTTTCTGTCCGAACAGCCCTGGCGGAAGGGCCTGCATCAGACAGGTTCTCAGAAGTGCCCCCTGAATTCGGGGCAGAACTAAAACCGTGCTGGCCCGGGGCAGAGGTGTCGAAATGCCGCGTGCGGGTTGCGGGGCCCGCGGGCCTGAGGGTGTAGCCGGTGTGTGAGCTGGGCGATGAGGGGGCGATGAGGAAGGCCCGAGTCAGGGAGTTGGCGCGGGGAGCGGGGCCGGGGTGGGGGGCACTTCAAGAGGCGCTGGGAGAGAGGAATGGACGCGTTCACTGACCTGCTGTGTGGGGGGCGAGAGGAGAGGAAGGAGGGGAAGAGAGAGAAGGGAGGGCAGGAGCACAGCGCCCCCCGCCCCCCCCCGCCGCCGCACGGGCAGCTCTGAGGGTGCAAGAGGACGAACCGAAGGACAGGACCCTTTTACTCTCCCCCCGTTGGAGGTGGAAGCAAACGTAGCTGTTTGAAAGGCAAGGCCGGAGCCCCTAAAAGCTGTCACAGTGAGGAGCAAAAATGCGAAGGTGGCAGGACAGCGTGTAAAAATGGGACCCGCCCCCTGCCCCCCGGGAAAGCACGGCGGCGGGACTTGTGAGGAATCGCGGGCGCGTTGCTCCGTCCGCGGGCCTGACCGGCGCTCGCTTCCCCGCAGGCCTGCAACCCTAAGTACTCAGACTACGACAAAACGGGCTCCATTTGTGCGAGCGAGAACATCAACGACACCCTGACCCTCTACCGGTGGCTGACCAGCGCGCCCGTGGGCGCCGACGGCGTGGCCAGCCCCATGAGGGAGGTGGACTTCGACACCTACTTCACGTCCACGAAGATGATCGCTCTGGACTCCATATACTTCCAGCCCGGCTCCAGGGTGCAGTGCGCGGCGCGCGCGGTGAACGCGGACGGCAGCGAGGGCCTGGAGCTCCTGAGCCCCATCGTGACCGTCAGCAGGGAAGAAGGTACCGCGCCGCCCCGTCTGTCCGCGGGGAGGTCCTGGGGCGCCCGCAGCGTTGCAGCGCCTGAGTGCCGGGTACTGGGTCTTTCAAATGCCCCGTGTTTCCCGTAATAAGGCTCGAAGTCCTTAAAAATGGCCATCATTTTTTTTTTTAAAATATGCATTAGGAAAGACTTATTCGTTCCACGTGTATAGGTCATCTGCCATACACCCGAGTTTTCGCCAGCATGCAAGTGCCCTGTGATGCAATTAAAGAAATAGGGGGCCCTGGCCGGTGGGGCTCCGTTGGTGGGGGCGTCGCCCCGTGATCCAAGCGGCCGCTAGGGCGGTCCCTGCTTGGGGCAGCGACCAGGCGCAACCGATGGACGTTTCTTTCTCTCCTTCTCCCACTCCCTCCCTTCCCCTGTCTCTACAATCAGTAGGCACGTCCTCAGGTGCGGGTTTAGAGAAATTACACAGGGCCTGGAACGGCGGCCTCCGGGCCGGCAGACGGGCAGCCCGGGCCGGGGCCGGGGCCGCCCCCGGTGTTCCTCCCGCCGCGGAAGCGCCGCGTCCCGGGCTGGGGGCGGCTGGAGAGAGAAGGCGCTCTTGACCTAGACGCCATGAAACTGTAATTTAGCATCTTGGTCTCTTCCGTGACATTAAAATGGAAACACCCACATTCTGTCAAAGCAAACATTGGAGGGAGATTGTCACGGCAAAATTCTTGAGGGGCACAGAGAGAGGGAGACAGATAATGAGTCACAGCTTGTAACACACGCACCGTAAGAAATTCCGTGCGGAGAGAGCGCTGCATTTTACTGGCTCTAAAGAAACGTCCGTTTTTGTCTTCAAAATGAGCACATTTTTAGTCTTACCAGCTTATAAAAAGGTATATTTTATAACGAGTGATAAACATAGTATTCTAGAGGAAACATCAGGTGCACTGACATTGTATTTTTTCTGTTGCCGTTCCATCATTCCCACTGTGTCTGTTCATACTTTATATTAAAATCCAATGTGCTCGCAACCTAGTGTTCAGCTCATATTAAATCACAGGAAACGACAACTGGTTTTTCTCCAACTTCATAACATGCCCAAAACGTTAAAAAGCGACTACTCACCCCGTGGCCTCCTGCTTCCGAACGCTGTCTTCTCTCAACAACGCCGTGGTCCAGAGGGAATATTCAAGTCCGTAGAAAAATGATAGTGCCTGTTTCAAAAACATGCTTTAGGTGTTGCTTCCTGTCGCCTTTTAACGTAAACTCGTCCCTTCTCAGGCCTTTGTCAGCCTCGGGTGCCAGGGATCGTGGGCGCAGAGCCGTTCTCCGCTAAGCTGCGCTACGTGGGCACGGAGGACCCCGAGCACGCCGGCCTCATCCAGCTCACGGTCACGATGCCGCACACGGACGGTGGGTGCCGCGGCGGGCAGCCCGGGGACGGGGTCAGGGCTCCGCGCTGCCGGGCTGTCTTACCGACCCCGCTCAATAACCTCGCGGGCAGCGAGCGCTCACTGCGCAGCTGGAGCTTCAAGTCCGTCTGCTTCGTTGTACAGTGGCTGCTCTCTTTCTGCCCAGTCCTTGAACGTCAGACAGGTGAAGCGTTCTCTGAAGTTAGGTACGGCTAACACGTGCAAACACAACGGGACAGAGCCCTGGCGAGAGCCCTGGCGAGCGCCCCGGCGTTTAGGAACAGGCTCAGATGGGCCTTCAGAACTTTTGAACCTGCACTTCCAGCAGAGCTTCTGGGGACATCGCTGGTCCTTCTTCAATGCGGGTTTGCGATTTCGCAGCCGCAGTTTGAGGAGTCCCTCCCTATGTTTATTGTGATAACTAAGACATTTCCTAGGTTACAATAAAATTAAAAATGCCACTCTACCAGTATTATATTTCGCGTTCATTTTCTCCAGGTAGGGAAGTGTGGCCGGCATTTGTGAGTCAACAGCTTGGCCCACACTCTGTGAGCGCCTTTCCCCGCCTTCCGGGGACACTTCCGAGTGCTCCTCAGCTCCGTTCACTTCTGTACTTGGAGAAAGTGGTTAATTACTAGTCGGTTCATTACATTTTAAGTAGCTGAGGGAGCGGAAACGTTGGGGGCTGTCAGGAACGACAGGCAGAATCTACGTCCTCCTCAAAAGCTCTGTCTGCTTTTTACAAACCCGAATCTGTGTGCGGTGCGGCGGGAGTTAGGCTGACAGCACGCGGCCCCTCTTCAGAGCGTCACGCTGGGGCCACGTTGACCCCTTGCCTGTACGTTGGCCGTGGACGTGGGACGCGGGGGCGCGAGGAGCTGAGGAGAAGCCACCAGGCAAAAGCGGACGCCGGCAGCACAGGAAGGAGGGTGGGAGGGCCCGCGTGTCCCCGCGTTCCCGCGACGGAAGCTTCCCGCTGCCGCTCTCCCGAGAACTCCCGGGAGCCCCGGGGGTCCCAGGTCCGCGCTCGGAGAGCCCTCGCACTGCAGGGTTTCCTAAGACGCGTCCCCAGGTGCGGGAACGAGGGGGCACGCTCCGCCCCGCCCGGCGGGGCGGCCAGAGCCGTGACGGCCGTCTCGCTCCCTCGCAGGCCTGCTCCCCGTCATCTCCACGAAGGAGCTGTCCAGCTTCGAGCTCACGCTCAGCCCCGACGGCACGCGGGCCGCGAACCACCGGTGCTCGAACCTCCTGGATTACACCGAGGTCAGGACCCACCACGGGTTTCTGACGGACGCCACGAAAAACCTGGAGGTCGTGGGGGAGACGTACCCGTACCAGTACAGCGCGGCTCTGCGCGGGGCCAGCACCCTGCGCTTCTACCGCAACCTGAACCTGGAGGCCTGCCTGTGGGAGTTCGCGAGCTACTACGACATGTCAGAGCTCCTGGCCGCCTGCGGGGGCGCCGTCGGGACCGACGGGCAGGTACGGCTTTGTCTGCGGCATCTGCGCTTCAAGCCAGTGGGGGTGTTCCATTGCGTAGCGTTGGACGAAGCCCCAGTCTTGCATCGCGGTGACCATAGCTCATGAGGTGCAAGACAGACCAAATAGGTGTCACGGGCGGGGTGAAAAGCCGTGTCTGTTTCTTAACTTCCTAATTTTTTAATGAAGGGATTGGCTGCTGGTAGGTAAGGAATTCCTGTTCCTTTTGGAGGTGGTGAAAATGTCCGCCGCCCTTGGTCACGGTGAAAGCCGTGCGACTCCCTGAACACACTCAGCTCCATCGACGAGTCCGCTGAGCGGGGGTTCTCTGTCTGACCCGAGTCGTGACGCGTCCCCGGAACTAAAGGGCGCAGTGGGGCCGCTCCCGATAACGCCGGTGGTGTTGGGGCGGTGGCCACACGCTCCTGTTGCAGCTCTTCCATTGCGTCGCAGCTCACGCCGTGTCTGCTCCCCGAGGGCGGCTCGGCAGCCCCCCGGGCGCGCGGCGCCCGCGCCGGGACCCGCTGACAGATGCGACTTCGCGTTTCAGGTCCTGAACCTTGTGCAGTCCTACGTGACGCTGCGGGTCCCGCTCTATGTGTCCTACCTGTTCCACTCCCCCGCGGGGGCGGGCGGCTGGCAGCACTTCGACCTGAAGGCCGAGCTGCGGCTGACCTTCGTGTACGACACGGCCATCCTGTGGGACGACGGCATCGGCAGCGCCCCGGGGGCCGAGCTCCAAGGTGGGCCGCGCCGGGTCGGGGGCGCCCGAGGCCGCGAGGGGCAGCAGGGGCAGCCGCGGGCCGTTCCGTTTTCTGTGTAGCGGTTTCAGATGACTTCATTCTTCCACGAGGAAACCTTTGGCCTAGATCCTAGCAGGGCCTTGCGGGCTGTGTTCTCTGTGACCGTTCACGGCAATACCCGCATCTCCCGGGTACTTAACTCTCTAGTCCCTTCGAGGTGACTAGAAGGCCATTTATGTGTCACACATCACGGTCTATATATTTCCCTCGATTCTAGAAAAATGGGTAGAGGAAGTTCTCACCGAACATAAAGAACAAACCCAAGAGGAAAAGTTACGCCTCTTTGTTCCTGGAAATGGGGGCGGGGGCGTCTGACCGTCCCGGGGCCTGATTCGGGCCCGGCTGAGCGCGTGGCTCGGCCTCCGCTGCCCGCCGTCCCCCGGCAGGGTGGGCGAGCTTCCCGCGCGCCTTCTGCCTTCAGGTCCTGCCGTCCTGTGGCTCCTCACAGGACCTCTGAATAGCGGGGGTGATGCCCCAGGCTGTTGGGCCCAGAAGCCTCTGCAAACTTTTGTTTGCGTCTCCACGTCGGAATCGGAACTTGCAGCCCCCGGCGCGAAGCTGACCGGCCACTGGCCGCGTGGGTCCGAGTGCCCGGCCTGCGCTGCTTTTCAGGAGCCGGAGGGAAAATACTGTCCGTAATTCCGTCCCGAAATCTGCCGCGTTAAACCAGTTCCAAGTGCCTGAAAGCCATGAGCAAGGCACTGTGTCCGTCCTGAACCACTAAGGGGCCAGGTTGCTTACACTTTCATTTCCTATATTTCTCTATATATTTTCTCTATTTTAATTTCACATTTCGTCGTCTGCCTCTCCTGTCACCTGGAAGGCCCCTGACCGGAAGGCTCGAAGGGGAGGCGACTCCGGCCTCCTCTGTGGAGGAAGCCCGCACGGGAGCGGCCCTGGTCACCAACTTCCCACTCTTGTGCGCTGTCCCCCGCAGGCTCTCTGCACCCGACCAGCATGCGCGTCGGCGAGGACGGCTGCTTGGTCGTGAACTTCAAGACGGAGGCCCAGTTCCACGGCCTCTTTGTGCTGTCGCATCCAGGTGAGCCCGCGCCCCTTTAATGGCCGGCGCCGCGGGGGCGGGTCCTTCCGCGCCCGCGCCCGTGCGGGGGCCCCTCCTGGGCTCGGCCGCCCTTCCCTTCAGAGGGGTCGCCGGTGTGCGCTCACCTCCGCGACGCGTGATCGCTGCTCGGCTGCGCCCCGTCACCTGCAAAGCCGTCATGATCTGTGTGGACTTGCAGAGAAAATACAAAATGATGGGAGTAAAACGCAAAGGCAGCTCTGCTGAGCCTATTTTAGAGGACGTCTTCCCCCGGGAAAGGGCCCGCTTCCATTGCATCGTGCAAAAACCGTTGGGTTGCAACGTGCTTGTTCAGCCAGAACTCCTGTGGGCGCAACCGTGCTCTATCACGGCGCCGTCCTCAAGTGTCAGACCCGTTAACTAATGACCTTTAATTGTCGTCTGCGCCGAGTTACTAACGCATGGACTGTGACGTGCATACCGATGAGGTGGCAGCCACCGTAGTTCCAGGTCAAAGCCGTGTTTCATAGCAAGGACATTTCGTTAAAAATAGCCCGTTGACTCCCTCCGTCCCTGGAACGGGTTGCGTGTTTTGCGGCTGTGCCCCGTTCTGCCAGGTGGGCGGTGAATAGCCCACTCGCAGCCGCCTCCGGCCTTGTTTTTCTGGGCGGGAACGCTCAGAGAAGGAGAGAGTAGGGCTGGGCATTCAGGGATAAATAAAGGGCCCACGGTATTTTTACGAGACTGGGTTGCAAGCAGCACAGAACCGAAAACAAAGCCATTTTTTTGTAAGTCACGGTTCTGGAAAGCGAGGACCCCGTAGTCTTTACAGTGCCTGTCGAGCGTCTGCCTGTCTGATCGCCGGGTCCGCTGGGATGTGGCTGCAGACAACGTACTTCCAGCAGAAGCCGCGCGGGGCCTGGGCGTGCCCGGCTGCGTGGGGGCCACAAATGGCATTCTGCCGACCGCTCCGCCGCCCGCGCGGTGCGTGCCCCCGGGCTTTGTCCCCCCGGGCGGCCTCGCTGGGCTCCGAGCCTTCCTGCACAGCTGTGGGGGGCCCTGCCCAGCAGGAGGAGCACTGAGTTAGGAACCCGCAGGCGCGCGGCCTCGCTGCGGGGCCTTGGGGGAGTCACGCGGTTTCTCCCCCTGCTCGGTGCTGCTGCGCAGGCTTACGATGTGACTCAAAGCAAACGATGCACCGGAAGGGGCTTGGGAGGCTCTCAGCTGCCAACTGCCACGCGCCGTTTCTAACCGCCACCCTGGCTGTCCCTGGCGCCTGTCTAGCCTCCCTCACGAGCTCCGTGGTCACGTCTGCCGATCACCCCGGCCTGACCTTCTCCCTGCGCCTCGTGCGGAGCGAGCCGACCTTCAGCCAGCCGGTCCAGCAGTGGAGCTTTGTGTCCGACTTCGCAGTGAGTGCCCACGGCCCCACCCGGCCCTCTGTGCCGGTGGCCTCTGGCCGCGCCCGCAGTGCCTCCCTGTCCTCCCTCGTCCCCACAGGTGCGTGACTACTCGGGCACCTACGCCGTGACGCTGCTGCCCTGCACTGCTGCGCTGCATCAGGGGTACCGCCTGCCGGTCACCTGCAGCCCCAGGGAGCCTGTCACCTTCGACCTCGACATCCGATTCCAGCAGGTGTGTCTCCTGGAAGTAGTTTCCCTCGACTTGTAGAATCCCACTTTGTCATTTGTTTGGTTTACTTTTGTCCCTTAAAAAAAGAAAAATTAACACAAGGACTTGAATTCCTGTGTCCTGGTGGGGGGAAAGGAAGTCAGACAGGAAGGAAGGAAGGAAGGAAGGAAGGAAAGAAGGAAGGAAGGAAGGAAGGGAAAAAAGGAAGGAAAGAAGGAAAAAAGAGAAAGGGAGGAAAGAGGAAAGAGTTGCCCTTCCTCCGTGTTGGTTCAGTGTGTAAATCCATGAGGTAAGGGTGTGAAGGGTATTTTTTTCTTATCTCTCCCCGGAGCTTGCTGCCTTACAGGTTTGGGGACTGTCCCCAGAGTTCTGCACATCTTCCTCTTGTTTTTGGTCTTCATGAAGAATAAATATCGTGTAGTTCATGCCGCCTCAAAGTACCTAAGTGCCATATATTACCAAAAAAGTGCAGGCACTTTTTGCCCAACACCCGCTACTGAGCGTCGGCCGGCCGCTGACCAAGGCATTTCTGCGGCCCTTGCACGCCCGACATACCAGCGGACATGCGCCCAAGCAGTGCCCTTTCGTCTCCGTTAAGAAACGGCGTCGCCTGGCCAGTTTCGCCTTCTCAAGAAGGACAAAGCCATTGTCACAGGTCCCCCAGTTGCTTCGGCTGGACCTGAACGTTACATCTCTGTGTTTAGTATTTTACGCGTCCGTGTGCAGCGAACGTGCGTATCCGTGCACGCCCGGAATCAACAGCGCGTAAGAGGCCCTTTCCGCTCGGTTCCAGGTGAGCGATCCCGTGGCGGCCGAGTTCAGCCTGAACACCCAAATGTACCTGCTCTCCAAGAAGAGCCTCTGGTTGTCTGACGGATCCATGGGGTTCGGGCAGGAGAGCGACGTGGCTTTTGCCGAAGGTACCGCTTGGCAGATGGGAGGCCCACGCTGCGTGTTGCACGCGGTGCCTGTGCTGTGCTGTGTTGGGCTGGTGCTGAGCGGGGAACCTCCTGTGGGCGTTGAGAATGTACCTGGGTCTTTGTCACCGTGGCGGGTCTGGGTCGCGGGGTGATTTTATTTCTGGAGGAGCAAATCTCTATTTTCCTTACCTCGGTGATTTTTGGAGTAAGTTTGGATTGTTTTCTCTTGAGTGTATTTCCCAGTTTTACAGACTCCGATATCGCAGCTACGCGGGGTTGTCTGTCGCGGGCCAGCGCCGCGGCTTTCTCAGCACCACGCCCTGCGCCCTGCGGCCAGGGTCAGAGTTCAGCGGTGACTGCGAAACACACGCTTGATGCCAGGGAGTCCCCTAAACCCCCTTCACGATCAGAGGACGGTCGTTCAGCTTGTTACTGGCTTTTTTTCCATTGTCTCCTGTAGCGTATTAGCCCGCATTTTGCCGACTGATTTATTGATGTAAACTAGACTTTAACCCCATGGGATGTTCCGGAGGTTAAGTTATAGCCAAGACCCGAGGTTATTTCCACGGCTGGATGGTCACGTGAGGGACAACACATGGTCGGTCCCTTGCGGTCCCCCTGCAAAGCGGTCACGCCCAAGGCCGGGGAGGGAACCGGATCGGGGAGTGAACACGGAAGGTCTTCAACACTTGAAGCCGCGTTAAGGAGAGAAGGAAACTCCCTAGTGCCGTTGTGGTCAGGAGCTGCTCACGGGGTCGCACAGCCCGCCTCACCCCGGCACGGAGGTGACCCCCGTCCCCCGCGTCTCCGCAGGCGATGTCATCTACGGCCGCGTCATGGTGGACCCTGTCCAGAACCTGGGCGACTCCTTCTACTGCAGCATCGAGAAGGTGTTCCTGTGCACGGGGGCCGACGGCTACGTCCCCAAGTACAGCCCGAAGAACGCGGAGTACGGCTGCCTGGCCGACTCCGCTTCGCTCCTGCACAGATTCAAAATCGTGGTAAGTGCGGCCTTCCGTCCGGGGTCGGGGGAGGTAGACGCTGTGCTCCCCTCCTCCCACGGCCACGTCAAAATGGCAACTAAATCAGCCCCGGCTGCTGGGGCTCAGTGGACTGAGCACCGGCCTGTGAACCAAAGGGTCACGGGTTCAATTCCCTCTCAGGGCACCTGCCTGGGATGCGGGCCGGGTCCCCAGCAGGGGGCGCATGAGAGGTGCCCACACATGGATGTTTCTCTCCCTCTCTTTCTCCCTCCCTTCCCTTCTCTCTAAAAATAAATATCTTTTTAAAAAGAAGAAAGAAATGCTATTTTAAAAAGTACAGCTAAATTTGTAGAACAGTCACCACTGAGAACCACCAGAGGGCAGACTGAACAGAGGTCCTGCGCCTGAGGACAGAAAGAAGCCACAGAGAGGCGGGTGGGGGGCGGAGACGCAGAGCAGGCTGGTCCCCCCCAGGGGTGGCGGCTGAACTCAGGGAGGGCGTCCTGGCCAGCGCGGCTCAGCTGGCTGCGCAGGGCCCACCCCCGCGGGCCCCTGAGAAGGAGTCCCCACAACATGCGGCTATGAAATCAGCAGGGGTCCCTGCCAGGCTGGACGGAGGGCTGCTGCTGACCCCTAAGGTGTCCTTTTAAAGGGCCCCCCGCAGACTCGCTCGCTCACACTCACCCTAAGCCCCAGAGATGGGACAGTAGGTCGAAAAGCGCCAGGGACGTGTGGGGATTGTGTCGCTACGGGACACGGGCTGGACAGACCAAGCTTTTGGAGCCCAGAGTGCTGGTGGGCATCCTTGTCCCCGTGCCCAGCCCCCGCCCACGGCCAGCGGGGGCGGGGCGCCAGCCCGGAGTCTCCGTCACCCCGCCTCCGCCCACCCCGCCCGACTCACACGCTTGGTTTAGAAATGGCCGAAGGACCTGCATAGACACGTCTCCAAAGAGGACACACAGGTGGCCCATAGACACATGAAAAGATGCTCAACGCCACTCATCATCAGAGAGATGCTAACGAAAACCAGAACGCGCTCTCGCCCCGCCCCCGTCCGAATGGCCACCACCAATAAACCCACAAACGGCAAGCGCTGGCGAGGGTGTGGGGACAACAGAAAAATGTGTGGACACGGAGGACCTACTGCCCGTTGCCACGTGGGAGGGGGACCGGGGGACAAAGCGGGGGACGAAGAAGTGCGCCCTGGCGGTCACAGAGCCGTCGCGGGGCCGCAGAGTGTGGCTCGGGGCCGCAGCCGGCAGGTGGTAGTCTAAGCCCTGCGTGCGGTGCCCCGCGGGCACAGGCCTGCCGGGCCGCTCCGTGCGCCGCGTAAGCGTCCGGCCGCGCTGCCGGGCTGCTGAGACTGCCCTGAGGCTGAATATCGAGCTGCATTTGAAAACTACATTTTTTAAAATTGGGGCGAGTGCTCTGGGCCCAACGATGAACTAGGTCCATATTCCAAGTTCTGCATTTTACCTTAATCTTAACCCAATAGCATCTTTTCCGAGGAAACGCCATGGTGACCTTCGGTGGTTCTTGGCGCCCTTACAGACCAGCGGGAGGGAACAGCCTGGCCTTGCCGAGGCCGGCGACCCCCACAGCCATCTCTGTCCCCTTCATTGCCTGCAGGACAGAGCGCAGCCCGAGACACAGGCCACCGGCTTTGGAAACCTCCTGTTTAACGCCCAGCTGGCCGAGGACGACCCCGAAGCGGCGCCCTTAGTGAGCCAGCCTGGCTCCGACGGCTTCAAAGTGGACTCCACGCCTCTCTTTCAGGTGAGCGCCCGCAGGCCCCCAGCCTCCGAGGGGTGCGCCGAGGGCCCAGCGGCAGACGGCAGGGCAAGGCCGGGCAAGGCCGGGCAGGCTGCAGCTGGCCGGTGTGCGCCTCGAAAGACGCAGGCGAACGGCAGCAGCCACACGAGGCCCGGGTGGACGTCCCACAAACTCCAGCTGTTCTTGTTATTTGTGTGAATGGGTTCTTCTCATAAGTCGATGGGCCGCGAAGACCCCTGTTCAGCACAGAAGACATCTCAGCCTGATGGGCGGGAACACTCAGCTTTTCTTTTTCAAGCATTCCTTCCGGTTGACTCCTCGCGACCATTTCCATCAGCGTGGCCTCCGGGGAGCTGCTGGGGGGACAAACACCCGTGCGCGGCCTGTCACTCTCCGCCCTCAAGGATGTCGTGAACCAAGCGCGACAGCCATGACCTCGGGGCGGACAGTTGAGACAGACCCAAAGATGGTGTCACACGGGGAATCCCTGGGGAAACGGAGTGCTTTTTAGGGTAGTTACTGAAAATTGTTCAGACAGAGTGGGTTGGAGAAATGCGTTACCCTTTCAGCCTAAAGAGGGAATCTTAAGGAGGCACATTTGTTACTCTGAGGAAGTGTGTGCGTGTGTGCATGTGTGTGTGTGTGTTGTTATTACTGTTACCTCTCAAAGCATTTGACCTCTTCTGAACCCTGAAGGCTCCAAAGCACCATCAGAAAATCCCTTCTTTTTACTGGTCCTGAAGAAGCAGAAAAGTTTTATAGGCAAATAGGCGGCAAGACGCTCCAGCGAACAGTCCTGGGACCCAGGGGCCTGAGTCTAGCCCGCCTCGGTCCCCGACGACATGAGCCGGCGCCGTGGCGCAGGCCACTTAACGGCTGGGTATGGGTGGTGAGTCTGGCGACTGATGTCCTTCCCGGCCCTGACATCCTAGGATGACAAGTCGGTCGAGCAGTAGTCACCCACACGCCCTCCCTTCCTCGCGGCCCAGAAGCCTTGCCCCGGGCGGCGGCGGCCGCCGCGAGCCAGGCCGGCATAGCCGTCGTCTCACGCGCAGGCTGTGTCTTCCAGGTCGCCGCGGGCCGGGAGTGGTACATCCACGCCGTCTACACGGTGAGATCGAGGGACGGCGCCGGCCGCAGCGTCGGCAAGAGGAGCGCGGAGCCGCAGCGCCACTCGGCGGTGGTGGCGGCGGCCCCGGGCGCGGCGCGCAGGAGGGCCCGGCGCGCGCCCCCCGCTGGCCTGGGGCATCGGCGCCGAGAGCGGCCGCGGCACGGACATCCAGCACATCGCGCTGCGCCGCGCACGCGGGAGCCGGGGCCCCGGGGGCGAGCGCCCCGCAGACAGCGCCCCGCCGCGGGAGCCCGGCGGCCGCGAGGTCAGCCTGGCCGCGGCCGCGGGCAGCCTCACCGTGGGGCTGCTGGCCCTGGGCCTCGGCGTCGTGGCTGCCGCGCTGCTGTGCAAACACCGCGGCCGCCGGCAGGAGGCGCCACGGGGCGCGGGCAGCAGCGAGCCCATGATGCCCCCGCGCGGTGGCGCGCTCGGTGACAGCTCGGAGGTGTGATGGCCGCCGCCGTGCCAGGCGCCCCGTTCCGCAGAGGACCGGGGACTTGCGTGCCTGAGCCGCCCACAGGAGCTGACGGGGATCGAGACTTCGACTGAGTTCCGCCTGCTCTCTCAGCCTCAGAGGACAACTTGGATCTCGGACCACGTCCCTCCTGCCAGCGGGGCGGCCGCCCCACACCCCTGCGCGCAGGGCCGCAGCCGGGCGGCGAGGGCCGGGCCTGCGCGCTGCACGGCGCAGGTGCATTTACTCAAAGGTGCTGACGCGTCTCTGGGAAGCTCCAGAGGCCCGGGTCGCTGTACACACCAAGGTTCAATCGACACAGGGTTTCCTGGTTGTGTAACGGTTCCTCCGTAGCAGCGTTTCGGGCGGGAGTCTGGGAGCGCAATAAACACGCTGTTGTTTGCAACCAGTGTTCTGAGAGGGGAGGGCAGCAAGGAAGCCCGGCCAGGGGGACCGGGCCAGGCAGTGCCTTCTCGGCCCCTCGGGAGGGACGGGCCGGGAGCTGGAGGGCAAGCCAGCCCCTCACTCGGGTTTGAATAGTTTCTGGTCTTCGTCAGACCCTCCTGGTCCCGTGGGCCCACTTGATTTTAAATTCGCCCGCCAAGTAGGTTCTGTCCCGAGACACAGAGGGATGGCGACCGCTCTGGGTGTAAAGTGAGACACGGCGCTGAGTTCTTGTGTGATATTGTATCTTACTGGTGCTCAATATTTATGGGGAAGGAGAGGGTTGGTGACAACGCCAGAGGGACAGGTGCGTATCTGCGGGGCACTGTCCCCTGAGGACTGAGCCTGGAGGCTGTCCGTGTTGAGCCCACACACGATAGCGAGAAACGGCATTATGTGGAGGAAGAGAGTGTTTATGAAAAGAGTATGTTTAACCAAAGTGCTTCTTATACATACTTTATAGAATTAAAAAAAAACCACACGTTAACAGATGATACATGACATTAACCCTCCGCGTGGCGAAGTCACACAACCGTGCCCAGGGCCTCAGCGGGCCAGACGACCTCATCGGAGCTTCCTGACCCGCGTCTGCCCCAACCTGTCATCCAGGGGTGGTGTCGGTGGCGGCCGCCATCCTCCGTCACACTCTTCTTCTACCCAAAAGCAAAGTACAGTATTGCTCTCTGGTGTCTCCCACTGAGTGGCCGAGGCACCGCGTCCCTCTCAGATCTAAGTATGTAAGTTGTAACGCTGCTAACCGTGCGGAACACCGAGCGGCGGGGCTGGGAGCACTTGCTTGGCCAGCCTCCCCTTGCCTTCCTGAGGAGGCGCTTTCCCGAAGGGCGGAAGTCGCGGTGGGAAAGGGCGAACATCCTCAGTGTAATCACCCACCTGTGAAAAGTTGGTAAATACAGGGCGGGGCGGGGCGGGGGCCCCAAGCCTGCAGATGCCCCTTTCCTGTTGCGCGGAATCGGTCCCTTTCCCTACGGCGTTGCCTGCCCGCAGGTCATGAGGCAGGTGTGGTCTGCGTCTGTGCGTCTGTGTGTCTGTTTTCACCCCGGGGCGCGGCAAGAACGTTTAAACCACGCGGCTGTAATCAGGGCAGCAGCCTCTTTTCCCTTAAATTGTCCAAAAAAAAAAATGACGGCAGCCAACACAACAATAGCCGCCTGAATCACAATTATGCTTTTTTTTTTTTTGTCAGATCAGCAAAACATACATTTCGGGCGTGCGGCAGAATGGGAGGAGTTAGTTTAGGCGAGTGGGGGGGGCGGGGGGGTGCTGGAGTGGAGCCCGGGCCCTCCCTCCGGGCCATTCACGGGTCTCGCCCCGCGCTCCCAGGCCCCCCAAGGACTTACAGAAATAGAAAGCACTGCACAGCCCAGGAGCCCACCTACCAAATAAATACTGAGGATTTCTTTAAAAAAAATAAAGAATTTCTTAACTACTCTCTTGTCTTTCGCTTCGCCTTCCGGCAGATGCCGGGCTGCTCCCGGGCCACCTCGCAGCTCAGCCGGGATCCTGGGCTGCACCTCCACCAGCGCGCGGGCTCCGCGGGGCTCCGCGCGGGGCAGGGCGGGGGCGCCTGAGGACAGGCACCCCCAGGACTTCCTGCGATGTCCGCGACAGTTCAGATGCTTCAGAGCCTCAGCGTCCTGAAGTCCTGGGGTGTCCCTGCCACCAAAGGTAGTCATCAGGGGGCTCGGGGGCCGGGCTAGTTTGAGTCCGATTTCCACTCTCCAATGACTTGCTCTCATGGGACTGGAGCTCAGGACGTGCCTGTCCTTCCCCGACCCTGAGAGCCTGCCCCCGCCTCCCCCCTGCAACCCCTCATGAAGACAGAGTCTGGGAGGCAGGCAGGTACAGCTCCCTTAAGTGTCAAGGACTTGGATTTCTGCGTCCTTTTCTTAATATCTATTATGTGATTTATAATAATGTACGTTCATCATAAAAACTCTTGTGAGTGGAGAAAAGGGTCAGACAAAATGCTCCATCACTCAATAAAACAAACCCTCGCTTTCTTGGTTTTATTTTTTAATTGCAGTTTACAGTCAATACCGTTTTGTCTGAGTGTCAGGTGTGTAGCGCGGTGGTCGGACAATCACACACTTTACCAAGTGACGCCCTGACGCCTCCAGGGCCCGCTGGCACCCCCCACGGTCACTACAGTATTAGCGGCCGGGTCCCTGCGCTGTGTTTACATCCCCTGCCTCTTACTTGTAACTACGCTGACGCTGTCAGGGCATGGACGCAGGGTGACATCTCAGCGGGCACGGGAGGTGAGCAGCGACGGCGTCTCAGGCTCCCGGCAGCAGCACGGAAACCCCTCACTAAGCTTTCGGCCTCAGCGGCCCGCCTCGCCGGTGGGCCGCGGCGCCTTCAAATACTTCGCGTGTTTTGGTGCTGGTTTGATCTATTTCTGTTTACCTCCTTGGTTCACATCCGCTCTGGGAGGTTCTGGACCCCGAGCTGCTGTCCCTGTCCTTGGCAGGCTGTGACCGAAGGCGGCTCTTGCTCTGGACTAAAGGGTTTAAGCTTTGCCTGAGGTTTGCTCCTGGACCAAGATGACCCAGATGGTGTGAAAACCTCTCCGGAGCCCCAGCCGCAGAGCTGACTGCTTCTCACCGGCAAGGACCCCACGAGTTGCGGACGCAGGGACGCGGGTCCCGCGCAGAGCCCTTCCGGCCAGCCGGGGGACGGCGTGTCCCTGCCGGCCCAGCCAGAGGCGGCCGTAACGGGGGACAGGGCCCACTTTCTCAAGAGCAGGATGTGACGCGCAAGCCCTCCTTCCGCCCCCGAAGCCCAGCCTCTCGTGGCATCCGCAGGTCTGAGCCGCGGGACTGAGGCATGTGCTCCTGGGCCGCACCTGCCATGACAAGGGCCACGGGCTCAGTCTGAAGGGATTTCGTTCTGTCAGCAGCGAAAGCGCTTCTGTGTCAAGTCGCCTCGCCTGCCTTTTCCAGCGTCCCAGCTCCGAAGCCCACTTTACAAACGGAAACGGGCCTGTTTGACAATCCCCGATCTTCCTCACAGAAATCACCACCGAGGGTAAAAAATAGTCCCAGATGGAGAAACGTTAAAGTAACACTAACAATGCGAAATCACGGCGACATTTAGATTTTCAAAGTCGGAAATTTGACTTTTGCTACTATTTTGCAAGATTCACTTAGTGTTGACTTAGAAACTTAGTCTTTTAATAAGAGAAAGGAAACATATTTTTACAGACGCACATGTTTTACAAACTTGAAATTCACATGATTGCATCCATTGGAAAGCCAGCGTGTCACGGTTCTTTGAAAGTCTCCTTTTTCCTGGCCACGATGGCAAGAATAAGAATGGAAGCAGGGCGGCCGGTGCGTTCACTGGCCGTGCGCCCGAGGGACGGGCCTCGCGTGGTCTGTGCGGCCCAACTGGCCGGGCTCAGGGCCGCGCGGCTGGGCGGGCAACGGCAGTCACTCCCTGTCACACACACGCACAAGGCACAGCCGGAGGCTCCCGTGTACATAAAAATAACCAGCATCTTAGTTTGATAAAAAGATGAACCTAAAAACATGGTTTTAATGGAAATGGCTCAGGTGAGGATTTTCAAGGTCAACACGAGGGTCACTGGGGAAGCGCGCGTTGTGGGGGCTCCTTTGACGTTTGTTCAAAGGTTCACGCATTTCCTGCAGATGTTTTCCCTAAAGTCGATTTCAGTGTTGCTCAGCAATAACACAGGCGTTTTCAGAAAATAGTATCCACGGGTTCAAATGAGCACTTGCCGCCCATTTCTCCTTCCTTCCACGTCCTTTAATGTTAAGGACAAAAGACTTTGAAATTTGGGGAGCCGTTTCCATTTTGATAAGAGATTTTAAAATAGACGTGCACGGTGTTTTCCTACAGTTTGGAAAGATTCCACAGAACACTTTTTTATTTACTGGGATGACAGTGTTTCATAACATGATAAATACGTTTAAAGTGTGCAATTCTATATCCCACCATCTGTACACTGCATAGTGCGGTCGCCGCCCAAAACTTCTAAACAGACAAACAGAGCTCAACCCTCTCTCTTGAACTAACACAGACGAAGCAAAATGCACCAATGGGAGATGCTCTTTCGGTTTAATTTTAGCGGCAGAAACATCCAAATACTGAATTGGCAACCTTGAAACAAGAAGCTTTGCTTTCTTCGCTTTTAAAGTGCGTTTATTTCCTTTCCCTGATATTCGTGTGTATTTTTTCTTAATACTGTGTTTTCCTAAAGAGCAACAACAAACACTGCTCTTAAAATGACGTCCTCTGTTCGTGCCTTCATTCGCTCCCTCCCTGCTCTCCTCCTCTCCCTTTTCCTTCTCTCTCTCTCCCCCCTCCTCCCTCCCTCTCTCTCGCTCGCTCAGTCTGCGCTGTTTTCTCTCCCTGGGCTTCCCTTGCACTTAGGAACGCATTGCCCTTTTCCCTTGTAATCAGCCGCCTCGTTCATCTCAAAACCCCTGAGAAAGCAGGGCACCTGCACAGTAGCCCTTCTTTGTGCAACGTTAAGGCTTTTGCATAAAGAAAAAGAAAAAAAAGGAGAACTTTGCAGACGATCGAACGTCCCGCGGCCCCTTTCTGTCCGCAGAGGCTGCCGAGGCCAGTAAGGGAGGGTTCCCGGGGCACAAGGCGGCCTGGCCTCCCCTCGCTGCCCAGCCGGGCTCGGGAGGCAGACGCTGCTCGGGGCGACCCGCTCCGAGGTCAGGAACGGCCAAGCACCGAATGCACGTCGTGAACCAGGCGTGAGGCTGACAGCCGCTGGGAGCTGGGTTCTCCCACGAGATGCGTGCGGGGGATTCCTGACGGAGTGCAGGGGACCAGGGGGCTGCGTTTACTGCAGCTGCGGACAGCGAGACAAGGGAGCGCCTCGCAGAGGGGAGGCACGGGAGGGCCCAGGCGGGGCTGCCGAGCGCGCTGGGGAGTCAGAGAAGGGGGCGCCTTGGGGACAG